CTTTTTGGGGATTGCCATGTTAGGGTTTGGCATTTGTGGAAGCAAGAAAGAAGAACAAGAAAAATCAAAGAGCATTGGATTAAGGTAGTAAGATTTAATTAGCCTTAATGTTGAATGTTGCATTGATTGCTATGCAATTTCATGTGCTATTATGTGGTTGAACTAAATGATGATGATGATGATGATTGTGTAGCTATACTCCTTGCTTTATATGCCTTGGCTATTGCATGTTAGAGTGCTACATGTATGAGGTAAAGTAGTTCCCTATTAATAGCAAAAGGTTGAAATGCTTGTAATTGATGCATGTAATGTTTTGGTTGATTGATCTTGCTACTGGGATTTTCAAAAATCTCATCCCCCAAAAATAATGTAACATTTTAGGGCCTGAACTTCTCAAGAGCAAGCTGCAGAATGGAGGCTAATTATGGTGTCATACCATAAAATTTTCGTGGACATTTGATTATGTATAATTATCAATGGTTGGTGCTGTAACCCTTAAGCAGGATGTTAGTTTAGAGCCACGGTTTATTTAGTTACTGAACGAATTTCAGCACGAAATTGGGTATGCTTATAGTTGACGTCCTGAACTTCAGATTGATAGGCAGCACGTTAAAAATGGCCAAGTATACGATTTTTAATGATTTTTCAAAGTTAAGGTTCAGAATCTGGAAAAAGAGTTTTTGGCAAATGGATAATGTTACCTTTCACAAAAAACCTGACACTTTTTCTTAAGGAATTGGGTAACGATATTATTTTTCCTTGAAAGAGGACTTAAAGAGCTTTAAATAGAATTTTGAACCACCTCATTTCGATTTTTATGGAATAAGTTATGAATTTTTGAAGTTGGGCCAGAAAACTGGATTTTTACCCGATGAACAGTAAAAATCCGAAAATCAGCGTTTTTCATGAATTTTTAAGCCCAAGACCATCCAATGTGGTCTAAAATGGTTTTTATTAAACCCTAAGTGGATCCGATAGTAAGGTGTGACAATCTCAATAGCAAACATTACCATTATGCATGCAAGATGGATGCAAATGTATGATATGTTTACTTAATCTAACTCATGCTCACTTATAACATTTTCTCATGTTTAATGTTTCACATGAACATGCATGGCCATGGAAAACATCAATGAAATAGAGCATCATACTAGCATTAGCATCTCATATCATCATTAAACAATACAATGCACATCAACATACAAGCATACACATCAAGCACACAGGAAATGTAAGTTCAATACCTTGTATCCTTTAACTTCCTTCTTGCTCCCTTTTGCTTCCAACCATTAAGGTTGCTTGCTCAACCTTTGCCATTCCTTTTCCTTGACGTCTCATGGCTCTGAATGCACCAACACATCATTTCCGAATTCATTTGAACCATAGTAATCAATAACATCAATACTTTGTTTTCTTTAGAAAGTTTAGAAATCAAGCTCAAAAGTTATCAAAATCAAATTTCTTCCCTATTCAAACAGATTTGACCGAACATAGGCCTTAGGGCTCAAATTTTATTTTCAATTCTAATGCTTCCAAACTTGTTCTCACCTTTACTCCACATGATTTTTCATTTTAAACACATTAGAAGCATCAAAATCTAATCATAGTCCCAATAACTAGCTCTAGCTGAAATGTTACTCAAGTTACATATCATGAAATTCAACCAATTTCAACATAAAACCACTTGATTCTTGTTCCTTTTAAGCCTTTAAATATTATTCTAACATCGATTTCATCTTCCTCTATTATTAACAATTCCATGCAGCATGTCCTCTTGAGATTTCAAGCTCCCATAAACCATTAAAATCAATAACCAAACTCAATAACAACAAGGGTAGTAAAAACTATATTAAAAAGCATGAATATACCTTGTTTCATAGCTTGATCTTGCATGGGATTACTTAGTCTTTCTCTCCCTTTCTTCTTTCTCTCTCTAGAATTCATTTCGCAAGAGTTTTCCTAAGGTTTCAAGAGCCCCTGGACGATATGAGGGGAGGAGAGGGGGCATTTATAGAATTTAAGAACAAATTCTAGTCAATGATCTTGAAAATATATGGCTTAATCTTGACTGTCCATTTTTTCTCTTTGTCTTGTGGCGACAAGTGTCCCTATGACATCATGCTTATATCATTAAACCACATGTTTTTAATCTAACCATACACGTATCTTGTATCTAATCGTACACATGTCTTGTATCCAACCATATAAGTATTTTTTTAATCCAACCGTACACTTGTCTTTCATCTAATCATACACTTGTCTTTTCCATATCCTTTCATTATTTTGGCATTAGGATAGGGAGAAAATTAGTATAAAATTCGTGCAAAATATAGCTCTTAGACATTCCTTCACCTATTTTGCCATTCTGTATTGTATCGGGTATTTTTTCAGATCCTGACTTATCCGAGACCACTGGGACCTGTTATGACACTATTTTCTTATCTCAAATAAGTCCACATGGCATTATACAACTCACCTAAAGAGGGAGTCATGCTCTTCCCTTGTTCTTCCATTAAAACAATTAATAATATTTATTTCAGAGTAAACTTGACCGAATTCTTTCTACCGGTCCATGACTCTGAGAATCTGCTTTCGGGTATCAATATTATTTATACATCATGGGGAATTTTTCTAATTTTTCTTAAGTCAAAGTTCAACATCTAGACATTTGACTTTGACTTTCTCCGGATAGTATGTAGATATGTTTTAAATTCTATTAAAACCAACCTCTTTGCTTTTTGGGGACAAAATTATTTTTAAAACCTGTGATAATTCCTCAAGTATTTTTTTCTATTTTTGTCCAATTATCTGAAACCTCCCTATACTTTAAATAATTCCTTTTTGATAATATTCAAAATCAATAAAATCTTGGGAATTTCACAAATTCCTCTCATAAGCATTCTTGTTAATTTTAGCCTCATACAGGCCTCTGAATCTTATTCCTATTTTTCTAAAATTTTTCTGAGGTATTCAGGCCTTAACTTACCATTTTCCTTTTTTTGGGATTTTTCTGGGATTTTCAGGCATAATTTCCATTTACGCCCTTATCAGCCCAAAACTTTGTAAAATTATTAATTTTGCCCTTAGTTCGACTTAACCCCATAATTCACTTCATTGAGGCCTCTAACATAATCTTTAGCCTATATTTATCTCTATTTCTTATTCCTGGACCCCAAGACTTCATCCGAGTGTCTAACTTCTTTTTTTTTTGTCCCAGAAAACTTTCTCTTTGCGTTTTAGTCCCTGTGAATGCTTTGTCCTTTAAGGGAATCTCTGGGACATCTATCAAAAAAAGTTTGGTAGCCTGCCCATTTCAAGCTAATTCTGGTACTTCTAGACCTAAAATTTGGGATGTGACCATAACCAACTAAGTAAATATTGGATAAAGAAATAATATAAAAAATGATTTAATTTGCCCATGTATTTTTGTGAAAAGTTCTTGAAATGAGTTTGTTATAATTTTTGTTTATATTGATAATATAAATATCATTAGAATTTCTAAAGAGCTCGTAAAAGTTATAAATTGTTTATGAGAAAGAATTTGAAATGAAGGACTTGGGAAAAACAAAGTTTTGCTTCGGATTCCAAATTGAATACTTAAGAAATGACATTTTTGTAAAGGTCTTAAAGTGTTTTTATATATATAAATCACAACCATTATGTACTTTGATAGTTGTGAGATTCGTAGAGGTGAATAAAACCTTTTAAATTTCAAGAAAGCGATGAAGAACTATTTGGTCTAGAAGTATCATATTACATCTTGTCAATCACGCATGATCTGACATATTATTTGCTGTTAACTTACTAGTAAAATAGAATTCTTCACCAACACAAAGACATTGGAATAAAATTCTAGATTCTTTTCTTATCCACATGCTGGTAATTCTAGATGGACTATTTGTCTCATAATATTTAAAAAATGGTAAAATTTATATCTAGCAAATCTATTCAAATGAAAATCTAGTAGATTTGTTCACCAAGTCACTTCCTGCTATAATATTTAAAAAACTTGTTCCTGATATTGGACATTGTGAGCTCAGGAATATAAATTGATGTTACCAAGATGGGAAATTAATACACACTGTGCTTTTTTTTCCTGGTCTATAGTTTTTTTTATTGGGTTTTCCAAGCAAGGCTTTTAATGAGATAGCATTAAATAATATATTAATAAATATATACTCTTTTTCTTTTGTTATGTTTTTGTCCCACATGGTTTTTTTAGTTGAAATTTTTTTAATGAGGCACATTCTTATTTAATGAACATCCAAGGAGGAGTGTTATGAGTGTTATCAAGTGTGGATGTTCATCTCCTCTTCTTTTTCAACTTCTCAACTCCTACTACTTCCACTAGGCATTAATCTTTTACTATTTCATTACTTCTTTACTATGCTTTTGATCTTGTAACTTACCCCTACTCACATTCATATGGTTTATTGTCCACTATCTATTATTTAAGTACAAGTGTAACTTATATGTAAGACTACACCTATAAATAGAGCATATCAGTGTATTGTGATGAAAGTAAAATGAGTGAAGAAATACAATATCATTCTTTCATTTTCTTATCTATATCTCTTCTCTAATATTTTTTTGTTGGTTAATTTCATAACAAAAATCAAATATTAACAATTGAAACCCAATAATCTCATAGTTGATTAAAAATCAGATTCTTTCCAAAACATAGCTAATAATCGATATATTATCTAATAAACTTAAATTAACTTAAAATTATACTATCTCCAGTCTTTAATATAAGACCATATTTGGTTTTTATTTTGATCCTAAATATAAGATCCCAATCCACTTTGTCTCTCATATTTATATATTTTTTCCAAAGTAGCCCTTCTAACAATGATAATTCTAGTCAATACACTTGATTAGTAAGGATACTTTAGAAAAGACAACACGTATTTAGGATAAATAACTAACTCAACTTATTTTTTTAATCTCTTCAAATTAGTCAATTGGTGGAGGTAGTATTAAACATGTATGAATAAGATGTGATAAAATATATAAACATTAAACTTTAATGCTATGATATATTCATCTAGAGATTGCCTGCCTATGTCACGGACCACCTTGCCGTTATCTTCCATATCACTTGATGACACTTGTGTGAAGCTGCAAAATTTCCATAAGCCTTCTTTCTCATATCTCAAGACACAGCTCCCTTAAATTCCAGTACTCTCTCTCCTCGGCCCACAGACCTCCTTCTATATGTCCACGCTATATGGAAAAAAATTGTTGTGGCGTGAGACATGAGTTTCTTGGAGATCACCGTCTTGTCCGTTGAAAGTCTCCACCGTCACTCCTCCCCTTGCACCGCCCTATTCTCCGCCTCCGTCACACCTTCCGTCAGGCTCACGAAGATGGCTCCTCCAACCAACGGCAATAAGCCCTCCCACGTGTACACCTCTGACGTAAATCACAAGTTCCGTGTATCAGTAGATTCCACCTTCTTCTCCGACAGATACTCCTCTCTACACCTTCAGCTCTACGCGAAGAGAAGACTACTTGGCCGGACTCAACTCGGCTGGTGTCTGATTCCGGTCACAGACATTGGATTCCTCCCCTCCGGTTCTGTCCGGTACCTGAGCTACCGTCTCCGAGACAAAGACGGTTGCAGGGGCCACGGCATCGTCAATTTATCTATCCGATTGGAGGGGGTAGCTCCGCCATCGGTATCTGCGGTGAACGCCTGCCAGACGGTGATTGGAATGCCGGTGACAGCGATTCGACGGACGGATGATTCGCTGGTTATGAAAGGAAGAGTGGGAGAAGAGAATCGAACGGCGGGAAGGAAAAGATGGTGAATTGATGATGCGGTGGGCCCACACAGAAATAAGACCTTCTGAGTTTTAACTGATTTGGAAATGTGGAAATCGAGAAAATTGAAAGGGATGAGTGGAAAGTGAATGGACGATTATTGGACATGCACGACAACTACATGGACATACATGGAATTAAAAAGAAAGATGCCACTTTTATTGATGTTAATATGTTATAGTTATCCCCATTGTCTGTTGTTTTTTCCGCAAAGAAAAATCCATTTCTTTCTTTTGTAATTTGTGGGTGGGTTTATGTTTCTGTATAGTCACTAGTTTTTCTTTTTTTACCAGCATATAGTCACTAGTTTGGCCCAGAGGAAAACCTGCGGCTTGATTTTTGTTAGAACTAACTTTGATGTGAATCACAGTATTTCTTTTTTTTTTTTTCCCTGGCCGGTATGTTAATCATGTCATGTGCGACATTTAAAATCTTTTGTTTTAATGAGATCAGAAATACGAGTTTTTTTTTTTTGGCCGTAACTATTAATTCCCATGAAAAGGATAAACCACTGATCACGTGTCTCAAATATTACTTTCAGTACCTAATATAATAACTACTTAATTAATTTACATATATTAATTAAATTAGTTAAATTACTTATTTATAATAAATAATTTTTTTAAAATATCATTTTTAATCATGATTACTCGAGGATGGGAACATTCTTAATACGTACAGTTAATAAAGATATTTTATAAAATGAATTATAAATCTAAAAGACAAATTAAATTGAGGTAGTATATTTATGACCAAAAATTCTCAACCAATTTATATATTAAAGACCAAAAGTAATATGTTTATTCATATGGAATTCAAAATTTGTCTAATTATTTTAGTTATACCCTTCATTAAATTAGGAAGCGTGAAGGCAATATATAATGCTTTTTAGTCCTCAAAACTTTTTCTCCTTTTCTTTCTCACCTTACCATTAGATTACCAAATCAACAGTTAAAATTTAGTATGATGGTTCACAGCTCTACACTACCTGAAAATTTAAAAAAAAAAATGATACCATAAAATATTGAATCTCAATCATTTATTTTTTTCAATCCAAGGGTAGAGATGGAATGAGAAAGAAAAAAAGCCGGAAAAAAGGATGAAGAGAAGATCCAAATCCCTCCCCTCCACGTTTTTGTTACTCCTCCGGTCCTTAATATAGGACTCAATTGGTGAGTTGGTTTTGGTCCTAAATATAAGCCTCATTTCTCATATTTATCAATTTTCTCTAAATTACCCCTATAGATACTCCCTCAATCATAATCAAGTGTAGAAGAAGGAGATGGGGTATTAAGAAAGATGATTATGGTGTTTTAGGAAAAACGTGTCATATTTTTATAATTAACTAACTTACCTAACTTCTTTAATCTAATCAAATTAGTTAAATGGGTCTTATATTAAGGACCGAAGGAGTATTTTATTATTGTTTTTACTTCTTTAGTCTGTTTCATTATCACATTTTTCCGACAACCAAGCCGCCGAGCATAGGGAAAGTACTAAAAATTTTTCAAGTGAAAGGGGGAATAAAGGTGATGGAAGTGCCGCGCCGCAACAACATGGAAAATTAAAATATGCGACACAAACAGTGGAAATTAAAAGCTAGTTTGGGCGGAGGCAGAATTGCAGAAAGGTGTAAATTTTGCTTCCCACAGACTTTCTAAAAAACAAAAAGGTCCGCTTCTTTTGTTTCACTTCAGGCTAGTCCAGGATTTTCACGCGGATGGATAACTTTTTCTTTTCATATTCTGAGATTCTGAGATTTGGTGGGAAAATGTTTGTGGTGATCTCGTGTCAACAATATCCATTCATTATTTGAAACACCAAACTGTTCAATTGAGTAAAGAAAATTCGTTGATGGAATATATGATGAAGTAACACCCTGCATCCACGTTGAGCTGTGGAAAATTTGGGCCTATACTTATCTTTTCCAACTCGTTAGAGAAAAAGACAGGAGGAATGGGCACGCGTCAATGATTGGAAATTTGGGATCCACCGAATTAGCAGCTAAGAATCAGAATTTTTTTTTTTTTAAAAAAAGAGTGATTTTGATGAAATTACCCTGGAGATTTTTATAAGAAATTGTTAAACTTAATGTGAGGGGTTATTACCCTGAAAAACCTATCGTCAGCTTATTTTTGATAAGTGGTTGGTTTATCAAAATAAGTTGAAAGTAATTTTTAATAACATCTCATATGTAGTTCAAAATTTTTGAACAGCTCCTTCATATGAAATTAATTAAAATATTTTTATTTTAAATAAACGGCCTCAAAGCATATTTCTTCAAGCTATTTTCAGACTTTTCTTTTCGTTTTGGTTTTGGGAGTGGCAAAACTTGGAACAAATTTCAGTAAATTTGCTTAATAACCAATTAATATCAGTCAATCTCCAAAAAATTTTGAAATTTCATCACACTCTTTGACCAAATTTTAGTGTGGGAAAACAAAAATACTCTCACTTTATTTGAATTGCAAATCGTTGAATTCTTGATGCAAATAGTCAAATTTTTGTTGTCAATCTTCGAATTTGAGTTGTCCATTCATCCATAAAATTTATAAGGATTTACAACTTAAATTTAGCTATTTACAATAAGAATTTAATGATTTGCAACTCAAATAAAGTAAAGGTGTTTTTGTCCTTATACACAAAAAATTTTGGTCAATAGGGTGCAGTGAAATTTTAAACTTTTTTGAGAGATTGACTGATATTAATTGAATAGTAAGGGAATTTATTGAAATTCTCCCAAAAACTTATATGGATGACTCAATGAAAATAAATTCTATTATGCTCTATGTGAACTTTGCTTTTTAGGTTAAGCAGCTAGAATACACTGAATTTTATGATGAGCTATAAGCATCTATCCTAAGCTACAATATATATAGTGTAATTTTGTCCATCATCCCTAATTAAAAATGATACAACAATCTTCAATCTCTCCGAGTAAGGAGTGGGGAGTCCCACATGCAAATGGATTAAAGAGCAAAAATATCCATCAAGTAAGGGCACTGCACTTACTCTTGCACCAAAAAAAAAAAGGGAAAATTTTATCAAAGGACCATTATAAGAACATAATTTTGTTCACCTTGAAACTGTAACATCTCAGATTTCAAGCTTAGAAGTATTATAATTAGCCTAGAATAGGTAAGCTACTAGATTTTTTTTTTACAGGAGTTTCTGAAATTCCTAAGAAGGATGAGAGGATTTTCAAGGACTAAACTACAAAATAAGAGTTTTCTAGAATTGTGAGACGAGCAAGTTAGAGACTCTGATGAAGTTTTGAGGGCTTGAGTATGAGAATTGGAGATGATTAAGGGCTCAAGGTTGTGTTAGAAACCTCAGTGAGATGATTCCTAAGGCTAAACTTGAGTAGGGATCTAATCATAAATTCAAAAAGTTTCGGGTCGGAACGAGTAGTGATGGAAACTATGCCAAAAAATTCTAGAAAGATCCTAAAAAAATTCTAAAAAATTGGGAAATGAGATTTTGAAACCCGCATGCCATAAAAAATTATGAAAATACCCCTAGAGCGAATTGATGAAATTCATATGGTTTTGGCTAATTATGAATATTAGCCAAAATTGAATTATTTAAAATATGAGGAAGTCTCAGATAATTGGAGAAAAAATGAGGAAGAATACTTGAGGAATTATCACAGGTTTTGAAAATGATTTTGTCCCCAGAAAGCAAAATAAACTATTTATGGGTTGATTTTTGACTTGAGAAAAATTAGAGAAATTTCTCTTGATGAAAAGATAGTATTAGTACCCAAAGATAGATTCTCAGAGTTATGGACCGGTAGAAAGAATTTGGCCAAGTTTGTTCTGAAATAAATATTATTAAATGTTTTAATGAAAGAATAAAGGGAAGAGTATTACTCCCTCTTTATGCATGTTTTATAATGCCAAGTGAGGGTAATTGTAATGAAAAATGAGTGCTAGAGCATGTTCTAAGGTTATCAAGTAAGTCAGGACCCAAAAAGTACTCGATATGATACAAAATTGTAAAATCAGTGGAGGAATAGTCAAGGGTATGAGAAAGCATGAATTTCTTCCTATTTTAAGGCAAATTTGATGAGGGGACATAAAGGAAATAATACATTTTGTTAAGAGTTAAGTTTAGAAGAATGGAATTAAATAATAAAATATCATGCTTTCTCTACATGTGTAATAGGTGGCACATGAGGTGTCCCTTGAGGTGGTATTGGAGTTGAATGAGGAGGACACCTAAGTGGGCAAATGTGGAAAAATCACAAGGGGAGAGAAGCAAGATCAAAACAAGGGTCCAAGATAAAGATAAATGGTAAATTTAAAAGACTACCATAAGGTAAAATTGGCCCACATTATAAACATCCCTCTCTTGCCATTTTGTTAAGAGTTTTGGCCAAGTAAGGAATAGAGAGAGAGGGAGCACTAAATTCTACAAAGGAAAAGGAAGAAGAAGAAGATCATTGTTACACCTTATTTCTAAAATACCTTAGAGTCTATTTAGAACAAAAACTGACCACTTTGGATGGCTTTAAACTCATAAAAACGTAAATGGAACGCTAATTTACAGAAACTGTTCATTTGGTAATTCCAGAATTTCTGTCCAAATTTGAGAAATCGTAACTAATTCTATAAAAATTGAAATGGAGTGCTTCTAAGTTCTATAGAAATCTCTTTAATGCTCTTTTAAGAAAAAATAATCTCATAAACCAATTCACTATGGATTAGTGCCAGATTTTTATGGAAGTTACTATTATTCCATTGGTTAAAAACTTTTTTTAGATTTCAAACCTTAAATTTAAAAAATCACCATAAATCGTGCCAATGTCCAATTTTAACGTTCTACCTATTGATTTGAAACTCAGGACATAGAATATAAGCATGCCAAATTTTGTAATTTAATTCGTCCAGTGACTTAATAAAAATATAGTTCCAAGTCAATAGTCTAATAGGATATAGCATCTAAGCATACATAATTACACATTACCAAAAGTCAAGTGTTTTCATGGTTTAACACCACATTCACTCTTGAATTTGCTGCTTCTTCTTGGATGATTCAGCCCCTAGAAGATTGGATTACATTTGGAAGGAATGAGATTTCATTGAAATTCCAATAGCAAGAATAATCAACTATAACATCAAGCATGCATCATCATTAAAACATTGCAATATTAGCTACCATTGGAGAACTAATTCTCTTATAATTAAGCAATCTCAAACATGCAATAGCCAAGGCAACAAAATTCAGGGAGTAGCCACATCACAATTATCATAGTTCACCCAC